CTGTTCTGAAGCAGCACCAACAACAGACAAATTAATGACGTATTCATCAAATAATCACCAGTAATCTAAGAGAAGTGAAAACACCACTGCAGTGAACTGGGTATTAAATGCCAATCATTTATTTGAATGACCTTTTTGTGTTTTCATACAGTATGTAATCCTTATACATTTAAATAGGGACCTTTTTTTAGAAAACAGCAGTTGTGATAAACTGGAACTGCAGATGTACACAATCCAGGAGATTTGCACGTGTGGACATCTGAAAAAGGTAGTGAATGTCAGTGGTGAGCATCACTGCAATGGGTTCAATTCCTTTATTTTAAAGTACTGCACACTATAAAATAACCTTCATGTTCATGAACGAAAGCAGCCTGGAAGGGGGACGCAGGGAAGACACACACAATCGCACCAGGGCCAATTCTACCAGCAGCCAATAAGCCTACCGGTACTGTACGTCTTTGGACTGTGGGAGGAATCCCTCGTGAGCACAGGGAGAACATGCAAACTCCACGCAGACAGCACCCCAGGTGGGGGAATTAAACCGGACCGGGGCCCCAGCGCTACGAGGCAGCAATGCCCACCACTCTGTCACCCTGCCACTGTCCCCCACCACCAACAATATGTTTTCCATGTCTTTCTGATCCTTACAGCTTGAGAAGCTCCTGTGGAAGGCACAGAATACACCTGATCACATTGCAGAGATCCTGCGATACAAAGGTTGTATCGATACAAAGGAGTGTGCTCAGCTAACAGAGAGAGGCACAGGCTTCAGCGACAATACTAACCTTCCATCATCCAGGTGGGGCTGCACACTGGTGGGGGTGGAGGGGATCCCCATGACCTGTAAAGCGCTGTGAGTGGAGTGTCCAGAGTCTGCACTCGCTGTATTTGTATGACATGAATTATAAGGTCGTTAACTAACGGTTACCTGGTTAGAACCCTGGTTTCGACTCTCCCACTCCAAGTAAGGCAGACAGTCCACATCTTCCATTGCAATCAGCTCCTCTATGTCTGTAGAACCAAATTCTTGCTTTTCTTCATCCTGAAATACGAAGACCAACCAATCTCAGAACTCGCTGGAGGTGTACGTGTCCACCAGCCCAGAATTATGGAACACATACTGTAGGCATACGAACACATGTTGAGGAAAGTTACTTGTAAACAGTAATCCATTACTGTCAAATGTGACTCGTGTAAGGGATTTCTCTTCAAACTAACAAGAAGTCTGAGGGCATTAACTGTCAACAGGTATTGTACTACAGTACACTACACACATACTACAGGAATCACTGAAAGTTTTTTAAATGAGTTTCCCCAAACGTCTCATTAATCTCACGCCTGATACGTGTATCTTGTAATTGTAATGGATTTTTTTTTTTAAACTGTCTTTCCCCAACGCTGCACATGAGAAAGCCACAGCCCTTTGTCCTGGTCCCCGTGTCTCGACGGGCGTTAGAACATGTGAACATGTGAGCAAACAAAACCAGAAATACAGATTGAACAAATCAGCTTTTAAGGTGACCGGAGGACCTGTAAGGGAAATGTTTCAGCACCGTAGTACACTCCTGGCTTCTGTATTGACTGCAGCGCCTCCTTCTTAAGTGACTGCAGAAGGGAGAGAATAAGCCAGTTGTCACCCTGGAGTTTAGATGCCCTTCGGGCCATTGGGTACCCACCCTTTCTTCAATGGCGACGAAGCTGGTGAACTGCGTCACGACTGAGTACTCTTTGCTCAGGCCAATGATGTACGATTTTAACTCTGCTTTCCTCGCCTGGAAGAAAAAAAAAAACAGCGGGATGACAAAACTTATTTACCACCGAGTGGAATAAGATGGAAACTTAAAAAGTGGATATTATGCTAATTCCCCCACCCCCAAAAACGTTCTTGTTTATGGTATATCAGTTTGAAACTGGCCACCTCTTCACCTTCATCATAGAAAACAATGTTATACCAGCAATTAAAAACTGATGATATTTATATACCATATTTCATCCCTGGAGACAAACTACGCCCACTTTGTCCATCACTGAAGCACAGAATGCTCCCATTATACACCAGTAGTCCCCCGCCAGCGCCGATCAGGTGCAGAACGTGCTTGAACGATGTCACTAGGGGGGGAAATGTAGGGAGGCGAAGTTGTTCGCAAAGCCGAAGCAGAATTCAGCCCAGACATTGCGGTTAACACCCCTACACTCAAGAATCGTGCCGAGGGATATTTTTTGAGCTGTCAAGTCAGGGACTAGGCTTCATCCGAAGAGTGGCACCTTCTACAATGCCATGTCCGGTGTCATCACCCTGAGGCACTGGTGAGGGACTTCTGGGCCAGAGGGAAGAGTGTCACCTCCTGGTCGGCCAACACCGCCTTCAGCAGCAGCTGGCTTCTGGGAGAGGTCTCACTCGCCGGGACTGACCTGGCCCGGTCGTGCCTCATTTTTGGGATGTGAGGGGCTCAGACTACGACCTGTTCGTGATGCCATTAGGTCCCACCCAGAATCTGCTGTGCTGAAAGCACACGTGTCCACCTCACGATTCCCCGTGTGCTTCCACCTGCTCCTGCGTGAGTAAGCAGCTCAGTGCTCATGGCTCCTGGCGCTGCAGACTCCCGAGGAGAGCAGCACTGCTGTCCGCTGTCGGCTCAACATCAGCCCAGCGGAGAGCAGCCCACCGCCCAGCAGCCGCGGCTCGGGTTCTGCCCGGACTCGCCTCGTGCTCCGATTCTTCCGCGTGGAGGCTCCCCTCTTCGTAGTCTCTGATGACCGCTCTCGCCGCGAGTGTGTGCAGCAGCTGCAGAGCGACAACACAGGAGCCACACATCACACATCACGCATCGCGGAACCAGAGAAACCCGGGCCGGCGACGTCAAGGTGTCCACACGCCACATCCGTGCTCCTCGTCTTACCGTGCCTTTGGTCTTCTGGAGCTCTGTGGTGGCGACCGTGGTCTCGATCTCCCGATCGCTCACCTTGCCCGTCAGAGTGGCCTTGAAGGCAAACAAAACGATCGCTCATTCTCCAGCCAGGGGAAACACGTACATGGTCTAGAGAGATGTCTTAGAGCGACTATAGTCCTCTCAGTCCTAAACAATACTGATGAGTTATCAGAGGGCAGTCATTGTTGTTCCACTGCAAGCGTCCTTGGTCTGAACGGCCAACGTGATTTAATAACACTAACAACAGTCTCAAATGATATAATTCCCTTTTGGATGGTTGGAATAAATACAAGACCAGGACCAGGCCAGCTTGTCCTCTGGCACTTCAGTACACTGTAACCTTTCCCACATAGTATCTGCATGAAGAAACCTGACCGGAGAGCGCACCGAAGTCCCGTCCGAGCGCCGAGCAGGAGCCCCGCTTACCCTTGTGCAGTGCGGCACGAACCCGTAGACGAGGAGGCGGCAGTCGCTGAAGAGAGAGAGCAGCTGCGCAGGGGCCTGGACAGGAGGGGGCGCTCCGGAGCGGAACTGCTGCCACTTCACCGACACCGAGCTGCAGCCCGGAGAGGCCATGCGCTTCACCTGGGCCGTCACCTGGCAAGGTTACAGCACAGCGAGTCTCTCCACAGGTGCGCCGCAGAGGAGCGCCCTGCCCAGCACGCCGCGGCCGTTCCCGTACTGCGACAGCCCTTTCCAGGAGGTGATGGCCATGGAGCGGCCCGTTGAGGGCGCCAGAGAGACAGCTAAGTAGACTGCTCTTTTTATGTAAATGAATAAATAGTTCCTTACATGTATACAGCGCTTTACAGGTAACGGGGATCCCCTCCACCACCACCAGTGTGCAGCCCCACCTGGACGATGCACGAGTATACTCCCCACACACCAGCTCTCAGTGGGGAGGAGGACAGAGTAATGAAGCCAATTCATAGATGGGGATTATTAGGAGGCCACGACTGGTAAAGGCCAGGGGCAGATTTGGCCTGGACGCTGGGGTAACACCCCTACTCTTTTCACGAAACACCCTGGGATTTTTAATAACCAAGGAGAGTCAGAACCTCGGTTTAATGTCTCATCTTTATGAAAGTATGGCGCCTTTTTTTTTAGTTTAGTGTCCCCATCACTATGTTGGGGCATTAGGGTTCTAATTGAATCCAAGTTTAATGAATTAAAATCTTCATTTCACTCATCTGGCAGATGCTTTCATCCAGAGCGCCCTACATTAGCAGGGGAGCTGCGTTTGACCGCGGCACGTCCTAGAAGTACCTGTACCTCGCTCAAGAGCGCTGCAGAGGTTCTGAGCCCACAGCCCTAAGGGCCTCCCACACTGCTGCTACAGATCACGTGATTCACGGAGCCGAACAGTGCTGCCTGACTGGAACAATCACATGTGCTCATGGGGGTTGACTACAGAGAAACGGCGTGTCTTTGGCTCTCTGGGTGCAAGCAGGCCTGGGAAGGGAATGAAGGTAGCTGCATGGTGCTGGAAAGCTGGTACAGTATATTTTGGGGTGTACAGCCGTTTAGCTGCCCCAACCTGCAGGCTGGGTACTGCCTCCGTGTGTGCTGAGAGCTCCAAGGGAATGGGGTTTTCATTTGCTCCCTACAAGGCTGGGGCTGGATCCCGCCCGGACGAGGCCGGTATTTCTCCGACATCTCAAGTGTGGCAGCCGAAATGGAAAAGCGCAAGTCTAAAAAAAATGTAAGGCTATCAATAGACCGAGCTGGCCCCCCGCGTCCCTCTCCACGCGGCCTCACCTTCTCCTGCCAGGTGTGCTTGGTCTTTGCGTCGAAGAACTCGTGGGCTCCGCCTCCGGCCCGAGCCAGGGATCTCAGCATGTGCCTGTTGGCTGCGGACCTGACGAAAGCGACAGAGGGCGTTGGAAATCAGCACTGCTCAAGACGAATGGCTGCACTAGAGCAAGCAGAGCACGAGGCAGGATGGCAACTGCGCGGAAGTGAGAAAAGGGAGGCACTTCTTCGCACAGGGGGGTAAGGGAATGTGGAAGAAGCTACCCAGGCATGTTGTTGAAGCTGATAGCCTGGCTTCTTTCAAGAAACGGCTGGATGAGATTCTTGGATCCATCAGTGATGTCAATCAGTTGCCCTGCCCTCATTTGTAACTGTCAACCTTGTCATATTTGTCCCGGCTCCTGCCCGGGGGGGGTGGGGTTTGAGCTAGCATTGTCGTGGCAGCCGGCCTCTGCCCAGCCCACCTGCCACTCAGCAGCAGTTGCCATGGGCACCAATTAACAAGAGACCTGGGTCACCTGGAGGCCATGAACATCTCGCCGCTCCAGGTGATACAGGGATATCGGAGAACCTTGGACTCTGATCACAGCTCTGATACAGAGTTTGGTCTTTGAGTACTTAAGACTATTCCCCTTGTGTTTTAGATTGTCCCAGGCTTGGCTCTTGCTTGTTCCCTCAACCACAATTCCGGGGTCTCCCCCTTGATTCCTGTGTATGACCCGGACCACTTAATCTTCTGCAACGCTACAACCTCTTGCCTGCTTTGGATTTCCTCTTTCTGATATTCCTTCAGTGCCTTTGTTGGTCTCTACCTCAGCACCATGCCTGCGGCTCTGCAACCACTACCTGCCTGTGATCTTGGCTTTGAACCCCTGTCCGGTTGCCCCTCTGCACTGCGGACTCTCTGTCAACGCACTGCCTACAGTCCCCTGGGGCTTATCTGTCTCTCGCCCAGAGACTCCTGCTCCTGCTCATCTGCTGCACTGTGTGAAACATTGTGTACATAGTGTGGAAGTGTCGTCTATTCTACCGTACATGTCCCGAGAGACCAGCGCAAGCATGGATCCCAATGCACATGCACGTATCTCAAAATAAATTTCTCTCTCTCTCTCTCCACGAGGTCAGTCAAAGAGAAGGACGAGGCTGAAGCCGAAAGTGACACACATGTCCGCAGGTCCTGCCTGAGGCCTGCCCACAGCAGGCCACAGCAGCCACAGCGTGGTGAACCAACTCGTTTCCTGCCCCCTGACCCCGAACACCACACAGGCACAGGTGATGATGCCGTCCTTCCGGCAGGACCCTCGTGACGAGCCACCGATATCCGGGAGGATAGCGCGGGGCTCTGATCCCTGCACCCTGTCCTTACCTGACGCCACACGTGAAGACTCTGGTGTGTGGGACATTCTCCCTGGCCAGCTGCAGGGTGAGCCCCTCGTTCTGCACGTGTCCGTCGGAAATCAGGAGGAGGTTCCTGACGCCTCGGGAGGGAGCCAGGAGGCTGAAAGTGCGTAGCGGCCTCCAGAGCTCAGTGCCGCCCCCCGCTGGTGGATTGGTCTGTGCGAACAGGAAGACGAGCAGCAATTCATTTCAGAGAAAGCGAAATAAGATACTAAACAACGGAATTACGCCCAGGTTACATCTCAATCAGGCCAGAGCATGATATAAGAGACATCCTTTCTGTCAGTGTTAACGCCCAAAACCAGTTGCTGTGCACAGAAATTATAATAGAGAGACAAGGACTTTCAAAGGTCACAAGAAAAGGTCATGAAATATATCTAAATCCCTGTTTGAGTTGATTGGTACTCTGAAGTCTGGAACCTTTTTTTCATTAAAACACTGTTCTGTGGTTTCTGCTCATCTAAACACTTGGCAGTCCTCACTTGTCTGTTAGAAAAGCTGCCCAGGTTTTACAGGAATGGGATACAAAGGGAAACACCAGACACGTAACACTTACTATGTCGTGTGACACAAAATGACAAATTCACCAAAAAAAAAGGATTAACTACTTACTGTAGATAAATAACATCAGTGGCCATTTAGGATGAATATCAAAGAATATATTCATAAATAAAATTAGTGCTCCATTTCCATAATTTTTTTTCTTTCCAAAGAATAATTTCAAGTTGCGGAATCCAGCACCACCTGAATTCTACAACATTTCTGAATGACTTTGTATTGCGTGTACAGGTATAGTTCAGATATAAAATATTTTTGTTTCTTCAGATTTTTTCTTACATTGGGATTAAAAGCCGATCGTATCGTTCAGTACTTACCATAATAAACTTCTTGGCAGCTTCAAAGGAAGATTTACAGTCCTGGGAGCAGAGGAACAATTCCTTATAGTCTGAAACACACAAGAGAAATGAGCACAGTCATCAAATTTAAAGAACTTTTCTGGCAGGACCAACGAATCACTGGGTTGCCAAAGCAGTAGCAATCAGGAAAAAAAAAAACTTTTACAGACACTGGCAATTTAAATATATTTTTCGTATGTTTTCATTAGAAATGTTTTTTTTTTATAATGGCCCTGGTGTGAGTGTGTTTGTGTCTGTGTGTGCCTTGCAATGAACTGGCATCACACCCAGGGTTTAATCCTGCCTGGCATGCATTGCTTGCCAGGATAGGTTGTATCCCTATAGTTAGAAAATGGATGGACGGATGTTTTTGTTCTACTTATTATTGCTTTGGCAACACTCGCTCAATCAAGCCAATGAAAGCTCTTTGAATTTGAAAGGGAGATCTGTACCAGGTTTGTTAACATCATGTCAATTATCTCCTTAATCACATTATTTGTGACAACTGTTTGTACTTCATTTTACTTTTCTATTAGTGGGCTCTGAAGCGACATCAAGTCTAATGTTGGTTAGGTGCTTCCCACTAAAAAGGTATAAAATCAATTCGCTTATGAACGACTAAGCTAATTTTATTTTCGAGTAGGGCCACAAGAATTTTAATTTCAAGGAGTGTCCCAGCCTTTTTTTTCCCCACAGCTGTCTGACCCACCTGTACCAAAGAAGAGCACGTTAACTTTGCAGCTCAGGGCTTTCAGCACCAGCAGAGCAATTTTCCTGGCGTCCTGTAGTGCCGAACCCCTCATGGAATTGGAAGAGTCCAGGACAATAACAACCTCGCCGGCGCCCACCTCACCGCTGGATTCGAACTCGGGATAAAACACCAGCATGCACGCCTAAGGAACAACATCAACCAGACAGACGCCATGAAGCACAGACAGTGTGTGGAGTAGCACGAAGGTAGGTACCTTCGTGATCTTCCTGGAACTGCAACTCCACACGCAGGTGCTCTCCAGACAGGTGAGGTTCAGTGGAGGTGGCAGGAACGAGACTCGAAGGCTCTTAATAAATGCGCTAGAAGTGGTACAGTGGAACAAGAGCCAGGCACTGCAACAGGAGCAGGAGGAGGATTGACGATGCAAAATGAAAACCAGACTTCACAGCACGTGGGGAGCAAACAAGGATACCTGTTGCACCTGTGGCATTGCCAGCTCACCTGGCTGTCTTTCTCCGGGTGATTCTCCACCCACATTCGGGGCAGGTGCATCTCAGCCAAGGTGATGGACAGAAGGAAGCCATCGGCCCCCAGAGAGCTGCCTCCCTCTGTGCTGATCACAGCCTTGCACTGCGTTTTCTGAAATGCACCAAACAGACCTAATGAGCAGGGATGCGGTATGGAGCCAGATTAAAAAATTCAAAGCTTAAAAACACAATAAAGAAACGAAAAAAAAAAACACGCATAACACAGGCACATTTGTTCCACTTGCTGAAAATGCAAAAGGCATTTCTGGACAAAGAAGCAATCCACAAACCCTATTTTATCAGTGGATTAAGACTGGAAAACAGTATGCTTGTTCAGCTCCTCGTGTACAGTACAGTATGTACTGAAAGTCCTTTACTGTAACGGTATACTGTACTGTCCACCACAAGCCATAGAAGTGTGCTGGGAGGTTTCACACTGACAAGAACACTACAGAACACATGGCCAATACCTTGATTTCGATCTGGTGTGTTACAGAGCGGATGTCTGTGATCTCGTAGGGCATTTCAACTGACATGTCCAGGGCAAAACACCTGCAGATTACAAACAGCCCTGTAGTTTTCAGTTGGATTTTAAAATGAGGCCTTCTGAAAAAAGATTTAGTTTGTCCGATTCAGCAGGTAATGTAGCAACAAACAGCAACAAAGAGCACAGGCATGCCCAAAATAAAAACATTACCATTGTCCAGGGTGATATGGTATTCGGGATGTAATTTACAGTAAACTGACGAAAGTATTCAGATCCCTTAACAGATTTCATATTTTCTACACCACACACTCAAAGCAAAAAACAAAAAGAATAATAAATAGATCATTAATATAAAAGAAAATTGGAAAAGTCATGAATTCAAATGCTTTGCTGTAGAATACCAAATTAATTTGGGTGCATAAAAAAACCTTTACATGTCACACATATTAGCTGAGTATGGTGAAGTCGGTAGATCTGGCCATCGATCCCCACTGAAGCAGCCAGGCAAGGAGGAAACTGGTGAGGGCCGCCACCATGTGGCCGATTGCGATACTGAAAGTTACCTAGTTCTGTTTCTCACCAGCAGAGGCTGGGAAGCCTGTCAACACTGATGGGAACATACAGACGGAGCAAAGACCCAACAAACCTCAGAGAATAATCTGCTGCAGTCCTAAAACTGAGGCAAAAATTCACCTTTCGACAGGACGGTGATCCAAAGCAAAAGGCCAAAGTTACACTGGACCAGCTTAAGAATGAGAAAGTGAATGTTCTTGAGTGACACAGTCAATATACTGACTTGAATCTTGTTTACGGTTTGTGGAAAGACTTAAAAACTACTGCCCATCAGCAATCCCCAGGCAACTTGAGAAAGCTTGAGCATGCCTGCCAGAAAGACTGTGCAAACATTTTACCAAGGCAGTGTGCAAAGTCAGTAGAGACTTACCCAAAAAGACTTTGACTGATGCCAAAGATGCTTCCACCAAATATGTAGGTCATTGACATGAATATTTATGCAATAAACATATTGCATATTTTTCTTTACTTTTTTTCTGACATTCAATGCAATTTTATTCACTTTAGAGGCCATCTGTTTGAACGTTCAAGTTCTGAGTCAAATATTCCGTTTTAAAAAGGTGTACTCATCGTTTTGTAATTTCACAAATGGGAGACCACAGGAAGGGGCTGCAATCTTCTGCAAGGTACTGTGCAGTACAAAAAAACTATCCCTTTCAATAGCTCGTAACTCACCTCTCGCTCTCTACCTCATTCACAGCAACCTTGCCCACTGTGTCCTGGGGAGCAGGGAAAGAGCGGTCATTCATGATCTCATTGTTTGTGAGGGGCGTGCAAAAGATCACAGGTATGGTGCGATGTCACACATCGTTAACAAGCGACTACTCTAAATTTCCTGAAGTGTCCATCTGCTCAACACCTCTATCAGTACAAGTGATTTAACAAATATACTGCAAAGGAACAAGTAATAGGTTTATTCCATGCTGAAAAAAAGAAGAAAGAGAACACAACGTTTCGGCCGTGGAGCCTTCTTCAGGTGTGAACATGTTAATTCAGGTGTGACACCTGAAGAAGTCTCCACAGCCGAAACGTTGTGTTCTCTTTCTTCTTTTTTTCAGCAGGGAATAAACCTATTACTTGTTCCTTTGCAGCCTACGCATGCTGACGCAGCTACCCACCTGAATCAACAAATATACTTCTTTCTTGAGAAACAGGAAAGGTGACTAGACGCAAAACAGAGAACGTGCCGATAGCTATTTATCTTGCAAAATAAACTGGAACAGTTTAGCTGTACTGTCATACAGAAAGATCGCAAATATGCTTAATCTATCCAAGCCGCTTTCAAGTGGACATCTTTTTGACACTAATATAGGCTACACAGCTGAGCTTGTCTTTTATCATCCGACAGAAATTTTAAAAACAACTTCATGTGCTTGTCAAACGGAACTTTTATTATTTGATTGATGTTGCGGGCCCTGTGATGCATTCCTGAACGGCCAAACCGGGCTCGTACCTGGGTCCTTTGGGTGAGGGCGTGGCTCTGTTGCCACGGCGCCACGCTGCCCGGCAGGCGGAAGGTGATGTCGCCGTGGCTGACGGTGAGCTCTGCCACGTAGGTGATTTTGATCAGCACCGTGGACTCCGGAGGGAGGTTGCCAACACTTATAGTGAACACATCCTAAAATATCCAGGAACATTGGAAGACGCTCAGGCCCTCAGCCCTTAAGGCACCATGATGTTTCCCTCACTGACCTAAGAAAAGATGTTCTCTATGTCCCCAAGCACTAACATAAACAATGCCAAAGCAGATGAAATCCTGAGAGAGTTTTATACTAATAATAGCAGAACTTAAGAGTTCGCTTGCTACACGCAGACTAGTGCAAACCTATACGTTTTTGGGGGAAAAAAGCACACTCCAAAGATCAAGCATCGGCCCAGACAAAATGAAACAGCTCCATTTTAAAACCCAAGCATCAAGAGGGAATGACAGAGTTAACAGAAGGCGAGACACACAGATAAACGCGCTGACAGACCAGACAGATCGGCGGAGGAGCAGGCAGATAAAACATGCAAGGCCTACAGGCGCCTCCTGGTCCATGAGGTAAGCTCCGTGCCCCTTCTCAATGGCCTCTCTGTATTCTCTCCGAGCTTGCTCCTTTTCTTTCACCTGGGGGGGGGAGTGCAAAAACACTGGGGTTTTAACACAGAAGACGGCAAGGTCCAGAGACGGTGATGCTCCGTGCCATCGGCCGATACTCCACGCGGAGCTCAGTTTCAGGAAACTCTACCCCAGCGATGGCACGATTATGACTTGCAAGATTTATGTGTAATAGCACTAAATCATTTTTCATTCCCATAGCTATACACCTGCTCAGTTTGCAGAAGTAGTGATTGATCGTTTACTTTATTTTCATCATGTCTCTGTTTCACTACTTACCCTCTGGAGTGTCCAGAAAAGCGCTATACAAGCGTAAGGAATTGTTATTATTAATTATTACCTCTCCCACCACGTGCTTCCCGTTAATGAAGGCCTCAAACCCACAAACCGCTGCCGACTCATCCAGGGGGAACACGTACTTGGCCTCTATGGGAACAGCGCTGTGGTTGGTGTAGGTCTGAAAAACCACGACCTGCAAGACAAGCCGGAGACGGGCGGCCACATGTCAGCACGCAGGTGGGCGACGCGAGTCCTGGGCCGTCAAACTGGGGCCCCCGAGCTGTTGGCGCCCCCCCCTACCTGCGCTAGGAGGTCCATCACTTTGCCCTTGACGTGCACGCGCTGCAGGAGGAGGGGCCGGCCAGCGCTGTCCTGCAGACCGACGGTCACCTCCCGCAGCGGGTCCCTGTACTCCCCGGGGCCGTCTGCTTCGCGCTCAGACACTGTGCGGACAACACGAAGTCTTAAAGCAGAGCCCGGCCCAGACCCAGACCCACACAGCTGCATCCAGCGCAGAAACCACCTCAATGACAGTTATGAATGTCCTTAGCTGAGTGTTTTCTAAAGCCTGTCTAACAGGACTATTAATACTCCAATTTTACAGTTTTAAAAAAAGGTGTCCATCTGTGAAATCCTCTCTTCAAAACTATGATGGAGAGAGTAAAGTGCTAAAAGTGAATCCATTCCTCTATCTATTTTTTCTAATGGCCTAATCTAATAGAGGTTCGTAGGGGAGCTGAGGCCTGACTCAGCAAGCAACAGGCACACAGCAAGATACACCTTGGACACGATGCCAGTCTGCCTCGATACACACACTGACGCACACACTTGCACCAGGGCCAGTTAACCTACCAGTGTGCCTCTGGACTGTGAGAGGAAACCAGAGCACCCAGAGGAGAGGTACCCCATGCAGATACTAGCACCCCAGGAATTGAACCCAGGGCCCCAGTGCTGCGAGGCAACAACGATAACCACTGCGCCACCGTGCTGCTCAAGATGATCTGCAGCCTACATACGTGTCAAGTGTGAAAGTTGTCAAGTTTGCCAGGCAGAGGAGTTCTGTTAGTGAAGAAAGTTGTCTCGTGATTTGCAGATGATGTCAGAGAGGAAAGCTCCGCTGTGTTCTGTTTTCCCCCAGCTGCACAGGTAGCTCACCTGTGTCGAAGGTCAGAGGCTGCTCCAGCTGCTCCAGCTGCTGAGCGGAAACATCAACAGAGGGCTCAAACTCCTTGACCTGGTCATCGCACGCCGAGAACTGGACGACGTACTTCAGCTGGACCTGGTTCGTATCGTACACCACATACTCATCATCCTGAAATACACCGACAAACAAACTTTCTATCGCACAGAAATCAAAATGTAGACATAGCAGCTTCCTCATTACACAATCTCTCGTAGACTACGTCTAAGTGTGTTCAAATCATGAGGGAATTACAAAAAGGCCAAAACAGACGGCGGCGGTTCTGTGGCTCGGTCTGTTTCGAGAGCCGACGTGCAGGAGTTAGGGAGTGTGTGGAAGAGGGGCGGACACAGCACCTCGAAGTCGGAAGGGCCACGCGGGGTCCGTCTGACTCCGTGCACGCTGTGGTAGCCCTCGGGTGCCGACACCAGCCTGAAGTCCCTCTTCACCAGCTCCTTGCACTGACCCAGAGCCACGTCGCACACCGCCAGGACACGCGTGCCATCAGCGGCGCTGGGCTTCGAGTACTTCATACTGGTGCTGCGTACCGGGGGCAAGCAAGAACAC